GACAGGCTATCAAATGGCATGTTTTCCAGACTCAACCGAAGTACAAGAAGGTTCAGGCTGTTCATGCAACATAATGACTTGTGTGACAGAGGACTAGCTATACAGGCTGCTGGAGCAGATAATGTTGGAGGTAAGAGGCCGTTCCTGGAGCTGAGTCTATTTTTCCACCTCCGCGAGGAATTCATCACCCAGAAAAGCTTATTATTTTAACGCGTAGGGATAGTTGTGTTAACGTCAATGTAACGTTAAATACTGCAGCTCATCCACTGCGCACAACTTGGGAATCAACAAATGCATAGCAAAAGTATGTGAACTGATGTTCCGTTTGGGAATGACCAGCACTGTACTGGGCTACATCTCAGGCTGTTTAGCATGCAGAACGCACATGAACCAACCGAAGCAGCCGATGAAGCTTCACCTTGTCCTTGTGATGAACAATAGCAAGGCAATGAGTTTCCGGATGCAGAAGTTGTACTTTTACGGCTAAATAAACATTACATTTTCTCGAAGTACTCTCCACCAGCGTCCATGCAGTTCCATGCGAGCTAGACCATGCCGAAGCGGGTAACCCTTTAAGCTGTTCAATAAGGGCTTCTGTTGCAGCTTCTGGAGACTCCTAACCGATTATACGCATCATACGCTTGGGAACTCAAAAAGTCACATGGAGTTAGGTCTGGACTCTAGAGTGAGTGATCAGGCTGGACGCGTTCGTTAGTCAGAAAGTCTACGACACATGGACCTGTGTGCAGGTGCCTTATCATGGGGCAGCAAGGTCCCTGATGCTTGAGTCTCCGGACGACGCCTGGCTCCAGCTTCCATCACTTGTGGCAGACAGTGAGTGGCATACCAGTCTCCGGCGATTGTACATTGCTGTATGAGCGGTGCCGTAGCCACATGACCAGTTTTGGCCACGAACACAACCACTATCTGCTTGGCCACACTGCGCTCACTCCGGAATGTCTGAAGCGGCGCCCCACCAACGGCCGTACACCGGTCTTTGAGTTGAAACTGTACACCCAGGTCTCATCATCACTGAGGATCTCCCAAACAGCATTGGAACGTCCACGATCAAATATTGCAAGCATGGAGGGCTACCATTTCACCCGAGCTGCTTTCTGGTGCTCACTGAGCTGATAGGGTACCCAGGGTGCACAAAGCTTTCTGGGACGTAGGTTCTCATGTAGGATGGTGCGGATTAATCCCGATGAGATCCCGATGGCTTTCCCCAGCTGTACAGCAGTCACCCACGCGTTCTCCTCCAGTATGGCTTGCACGTGAGCAATGTTGTCCACAGCGATGGCTTCCACAGGTTGACCACTCTGTGCTTCATCACCTAGGGGCCGCCTGCCACGCTTGAATTCTAAACCACCCACACACGGTGGTCCTTGAAGGCGCATCTTCACCAAACGCAGCATGCAATCGCCCAACACTCTGATGCTGCTTTAAACCACATGCGTAATCCTTGAAAATCATCGTCCTCCAGTGACCTCGACTGACTTTCATACTTAACGTCAGAGTGTAACAACCCTTATGACTTGTGAGCTGTGCTGGGCTCCTGATATAGGATTCTGTGAATTGAAATCACTGAACGATATTCAGAATTAATTACAGTTCACATTTTGTTGCCAGGTCATCTGCACCTAGTCTGTGTACTGCGTGTCCGAAAATTTATTGCTCTGCCCTCGTATATCCTCTCAACCCTCCGGGATCCGAACTCACCGTTATCCCCTGACGAGGCAGCGAGTTGAGCAACCCAGCCATGAGTAACGGTGACAGACCATCATGGCTGATCACTAGCTGCGATTTAGCCTAGCTCTTTTCGTCCTGTCATCAGCATGCATAGGCTACATCCGCTGTCCAACACTTCAAAGTACCCACTTCTTTTTTAACGATTAAAAATTTAATAGGCTCCATAATGGTACAAGATGACCGGTGGCCTGGGGAGGGAAGTCGTGCAACTGGGGGTCATTTCTGTCCTTTCTATTTGGCATATCAAGTGATGGAAAATTGATCGGCATAACTAGTCTAAGCCGAGAAAGCTCCGTGGAACCAACTTGAGGAGAGAATTTTTTGTTTGATAGCAGTCATCTAACAATGTTAAACTAAATCATAGGATTCGTTTGTTGGAAGACGCCATTCGAAGTGAACTGTCAACACCAGAAGGGAAATGGGCAAATTCGGAAGTAGACACGAGGTGTCGTCGAAGCAGAGGGTTTAAAATCACCAAGTGTGGGGAATTAAGGCACCAGTAAATTAGATACAAAATGAGATCTGGGATAAATCTCTTCGTGTTATAATCAGATTAACGGAGAAGACGAACGCACGCACCGTGCACAAAATTCACTCAGCTTAAAAGTGCATTAAAGCCAAACCCTTATTGTACTTCACCAAAACTGAAGTCTGCTAAGGCTGTGCATTTAGTTGTGGTTGTTCTTGAATATTTCTAAGTAGCACATTCACTACTCCTCATAGTGTGACTACTGCTGGCATCTGGGCAATGATCAAGCCCACTTGGTAGGTTGATGGGTCGCGCAAAAGAATATTCACTGTTGTGTTCCCACTAGTCCCGTTACTGAGTACGTTATTGCGGGAGCAAGTAGAAATTTAAATCTGCACAATTTCATCGAAATATGATCATTGTCGGTGGGCAATCATCCACTGAATCCAACAGTGGAGGAATTTTAGTCAAGCAATGCTTTGAAATGGTGCATTGAATTTGCTTCCATTATATGCGCCGGCAAAAGGTTCCAAACATTGACCACTCTCCGCTCGAAGCACAGGGTGTGGGTAACTCGTTTCCGATCTGGCAACACAAACTTGTACCGAGGTACTGCTAAGAAGAGGATGGAACTGCAGAAGGCGATGGCTACCCCCCTTGGCGATGCCGAATCTGTGGAACCACCCTCGTGAACAGGTGACTGTAGCTGTCGAAGACATGGTTGGGCGCACAAACTGTAAGCAGCCCGATTGGTTTAATGATAACAGTGCAACCATTGGCGCATTCGTGTCGGTAAAAGGTACAGCGTTCGCTGCGCATGCGGATGACCCTGACGACTGCGAGAATGCGGGTCAAATTTGACAACTTTGACGACTACTGACCCGAGAGCGCCGTCGCATTAAAAATGCATGGTAGCAGGCGAAGGCGAAGCAGATGGAATACTACGCTGAACGTCGCCAACACAAGGAATTCTTTGGTTCCTTGAAGCCGGTGTATGGACCGAGGTTGCAGCCACTGAGGGCACTAATCGATGATAGTTCATGCGCTACCTACACACAGACTGCAGACATAATGTAGATTTGGCGGAAACACTTTGATTGTATCTTGAACAACTGTTCAGAGATCGACTGACCTACTTTGAATGACCTAAAACATCACGATGTGAAGGTGAGTCTGGTGGAAGCACCGACACTGGATGAGACGCAGAGAGCACTTGCTCAGCTGCGAAACGGCAAGTGTGCTGGTGACGACAGAATCTTACATGAAGTATTGAAACACAGCGGACCTGCGTTGGTGACTGCGCTGCACCACTTGATGCAACGCGTATGGATTGAGGATGAGGTACATCCTGAGCTGAACGATGCTCTTGTGCTACCACTGTGCAGGGGCAAAGGGAGCAAGCAATGTTGCACGAATTATCGTGGCATCAACTTGCTGAGTTGTGTGGGGAAAGTGATTACCCGAATCTTGCTCAACCGTCTCGCCACCCAATTCGTTGAACCGAATGTGGCGGGAGAGCAATGCGGATTCCGTTCAGGCCGCAGCACCTTGGGTATGGTGTTCGCGGCTCGTCAGCTGCAAGAGAAATGCAGAGAGCGACACTAGCCATCTAACTCGCTGTTTATAGACTTCACAAAGGCATTTGACACGGTGAATCGCGAGGGACTGTGAATGGCGTTGGATTAGTTTTGTTGTCAGAGTACGTTTGTAAGTTTGGAACATTGGAACATTGGAATGTAGAGAGCAGAAGGAAAAATCCTTTGTCAGCTCCATCGCCTCCCGTTCGTCACAGGGATCAAGGTGGACATTGCAAGTCGGTTCCAATGGAACCGCTGCATTGACACAAGAAGCAACAAGATCCGAGTTTACTCAACAGGTAAGAATCCAATTGATGTTTGAAACATTCCTCCGACTGCGCATCAACGACACACACAGGTAGATTATTCCATTCGTTCACTACTCTGGTAGACAGAGTGACATCACAACGGACCCGAAGTCTCCTTTGTTTAAACAATTTCCAATGGTGACCCCGAGTCGAACTGAAAGAATTGAGTGGAAAGAAATTCTGCAATTCAACTCCAAGTTCCCCTCTAACGATACGCCGGGTGAAAATCAAATCCCCGCGATCTCGACGGTAGGCTAGGGAGAACAAGTTCAGGCACTGGAGACGATGCGAGTAAGGCAGGTTCCGTAATTCCAGAACGGATTTAGATCCTCTCCGCTGAACTTTTTCAATCAAGTTGCACTCAAATTTGGAAAGAGGATAAACAGCGGGCAGTCCATACTCAAGAACCGGACGTACATGAGAAGTGAACAGGAGCCTGAAGATCTCCGGAGTCAAGCGAGAGAAGGATCGTCGTATGGCGAAAAACAACCTGTTGGCAGAAGCGACTTTCCTCAAGGTATCTTCGGTCGATTTTAGGTCTGGGGTCACAATGACACCGAGGTCCCTCTCACGATTAGAGTTCGGCAGCAAAAACCCACCGATATGATAAATTCCAAATGGTTCGGAGGCACCGATCGGAAGAACGGAACATTTATCGTGATTTATGGGTAATTGACACCTGATCGACCACTCATGCAGCGAATCGAGCCTTGTTTGTAGTAAATCAGCTTCATCCAGACAGGAGACTTCCATCCATATCTTTAAATCATCCGCGTAAATCAAACAATCTGTCCGTAGTACAGATGCCAGATCATTAATAAAGACTTTAAAAAGTTCAGGGCCAAGAACAGAGCCTTGCGGAACACCGCTGGTCATATTTACAGGGAAGGAAAAGGCCTCATTTACTTGTACATGGAAAGCGCGGTCATTCAGGAAATCAGTGAGCCAAGAGAGGATTTTTCCTGAAACACCAATACTGCGAAGTTTGCTAAGCAAAATTTCGTGTGGAACCTTGTCAAAGGCTTTACTAAAATCCACAAATACGACATCTAGCCGCTTACCAGCATCCATGGATTTAGCCCACTTTTCTCGAGCTACCAGAAGATTGGTGACACATGAACGCGAAGGACAAAACCCATGCTGCGCAGCTGAAATGATCTTGAGGTTCTGGAAGTGCAGGTTGAGAGCTCGCTTAAGAATCCTCTCCATAACCTTACAGATGACAGATGTTAGACAAATGGGCCGATAATTCGTAGGATCTTGCCGATTACCTCCTTTGTATATGGGCTTGACTATACCCGCTTTCCAGGCAAGCGGAAGACGCCCGGCCTCAAGTGAACACCGAAATACGTGGCAGATAGGAACAGCGATATATTCGGCCACAATCTTGAGAAAAAGAGGATGCAGTCCATCAGGTCCCGGGGAAGAGTTGGGATCCAACTCGCACAAAAGTTTGTATACCACAGTAACATTTATGTCCATATCGCTGAGAGCGGAGAGCAAGGATGAATAGCAATCAACTGACGGCACCCCCGTTGTATAGACCGATGAATAATGGCGAGCTAAAAGATTAGCTTTATCAGCATCGTCGTGGAGTACGGTATTAAGATCGTGGGAATGCAAAGACGGTATTCCACTTCCGGCTCTGGTGCTCCTTTTCAGGTAGGAGAAAAGCAGCTTCGGTATAGACTTGGAAGATTCAGCCAGATGACCTTCGTATTGCTGCCGTTTCGTACGTTTTTTCGAGGTACATACGTTCCGGACCAATTTATAATTGCTATAATCGGTTTCCAACCTCGAAAGCCTATAGCGATTCCAAAGTTTGTGTCTTTGGTTCATGAGCGATCGTAGTTCTCGGTCAATCCAGGGGGGACCTCTAGTAAATGATTTTCGTTTGGATATGGGGACAACATCATCAATAATGGACAGCATTTTCGAGTAAACAAGGCTCCAAGCATTATCGACGTCCAAGTGCTGAGGGAGACTCCAATCCTGCTCGCTAGCGGCCTTCTTCAAGCGGTTTGGATCAGCACGCCAGAAATTCCGCCGATAGACACAGTGGTTGTGAATGCTCAACCGTGTGGTCCATTGAAAGGAAAGTAGGCAGTGGTCACTCCTCCCGATTGGTGGTAAGACATTCAAATCAGAAACATCCGATGGCGCAGATGAAAGCACAAGATCGAGTATGTGCGGCGTCTGACCAGGGATAATGCGAGTAGGTGCCGCGACATGTTGAATTAAATTGCTTTCAAGAACAGCTTCCAGAAATGTAGAATCGAAGGAGGCAGGTGCAGCATCACAGTGAAGAAGATCCCAATCAACATTAGGGGCATTAAAGTCCCCCACTAATAAACAATCCTTGTTTCCACCATGCTTCTTCAAAGAGGCCAGTAAACGATCGCCAGAACTCAGGGGAGCTCTGTAGAAGACACCGAGAAGGAGAGATCTACATCCATCGTGAATACGACACCAAAGCACTTCGGAGCAGTCATCACTTCCCAAGACAACATCAACTATATGGACCTTCAGGTTTTCCTTCCAGTAGAGTATGACGCCGCCCCCCGATCTCAAACCGATGCGATCAGCTCAGGAGAGACTGTAACCAGGAATATGTACTTCGGGATCTGGGATTTCTGGGGACAACCATGTCTCCGTAAACGCCATAAGGTCCGGGAGAAGTACTGACGCAAGATGCACAACTTCATCTAGTTTATTACGCAGACTGCGCACGTTCGCAAAAAGTACGTGCAATCCAGTTGTTGATCTTAATGTCCGGGAAGGACAAGAACTGGCTTCCAGCGCGTTCTCTGCACTTTCCGAACCACGCGAAAATCCTCAATACGCAAATCGGTTTCACCGTTCGCACGGCGAGTTCTCAATTCATCGACTGCGATCTTCATTTTAACGCGGTCTTCCGGGGATAGATCCCGTAACACGTGAAAGGGCTCCCCTTTGAGGCGCGAAGTTCGTCGAAGGATCCGACGGCATTCATCTTCAGTTTGGCATACAACCTTAAGGGGACGCACCTTGGAAGAATCTTCCTGTTTTCTGCCAAGTCGAAATGCAGAGACGATATTAATCCCCGGTTCCCCCTCATCGAACAGTAGGGAGATCATACGTTTTAGAAACAATTGGTCATCCAAAATTCTCTCTGCTGCTGTTGTCTTATCCGACTCCGGGGAGTTCATTATGATGAGACAACGTTCCCGGTTAGGGACTTTGGCGATCTCGGGGATCCGTGGCTTGGAAGGCGGCTTGTCCTGGAGCAGTTTCTCCAAATGGTCAATCCTATGAAGAACCGATTTCAGCCCACGCTTTGGAGGTGACAATTTGTCTTCCACAGCCTTTGCTATAGGCTTACATTTATGCACCACGGGAATCCGACTTGCGGGAGCAGCCACCGTGTTCTCCTTGACGACGGTAGCAAACGTCTTGGGCAGGGGCTTACTAGGCTGGTCACTAGAAATGTGTGTCTCTGAGGGTGGGGAAGAAATTTGTTTAAGAACTGGCGTGACAAAATCAGGACACAAAGAAGGAAAAGAAGAAGGCGAATTTTGGGAAACAGTCGGTTGGGGATCGGAGTGAGCACTAGCAGAGCGGGGAGTAAAAGCAGGTAAACCAGAATGAGCCCGCTGGGTGTTGACTAATGTAAGACAAGAGTCACAAAAGATGCCAACAGAGGATGCTGTATACATCAGAAGACACTCATAAAAATTTGGTGAGATACCACAACAAGTGATATGCAACCAGCCGTCGCAGAAAGAACATTGAACGGCCTTTGAGCGGGTAGTGACACCTTTACCACAATCCAGACACTTGGACACCATGATGATGATAGGTAGACCAGCAGAAGATTCCGAGTATATTGCGCACCTCCAAGCCCGCCTGAATCACAAGAAAACGGACGAAATCAACTTTTGTCAGAACGAAAACACGGCGTTCGCTAGCGGTGACCTTGAGGCCATCGTAGACTCTGCACAGTGATATGCGGTCGAGAGTGCAGCTGAATGAAGAGATCTCGGATGACTTTGCTGTTGTTTCTGGTGTGAAGTAACGCTGTGTCTTAACTCTTGCTCTGTTTAACAATTATCTAAATGCAATAATGTCTTGTGCTTTTGATGCTGCTTGTGATTACGGTGTCCGTGTAGAACACCGTATTGATGGCGGATTGATCAAGCTCCGTTGTTTCGGGGCGAGAACCCTAGTGTGTGTGACCACTATCTGTATGTTGCTGTATGCCGAGGACTGTGCGTAGTTTGCGCACAGCGCGGATGGATTGCAGCACATGACTAGGGCTATCACTTCAACAGCGGCCAAATTCGTGCTCACCATTAACACAAGCAAGACTTTGTCTTTTCCAACCTTCACCCGGAATGGAGGACGTAGGCCCGCCCGAAATCCAGGTGGCCGACGAAGTGTTGGAAACCACTCCGAGGTTTTGTTTTCTCTGGAGCGTAGTAACAACCGACCTGCGGATGACGACCGAGCTGCGCATCCGCGTATCAAAGGCGGCTGCTGCGTTTGGCAAGCTGGAAAGTCATTGTGGAACAACCACCAGCTCACTGTCTGTACGATGCTGCTGGTATACAAGTCGACGGTGCTACAGCGAAACATGGACAATGTAGCTAGAGAACGCCAGATATTTAGAGCGATTTCTTCAACAGTGTTTGCGTCGTATTATGCGCATTGGCTGGAGTGACCGGGTTGCAGACACGGAAGTGCTACTGCGCAGTGGCACATATGCAGCGGACTGCATACTTCTGCCGTGGCTCCTGAGGTGGCTGGGATATATCAGTCGAATGGATTCAACTCGGATACCCAAGCGGTTCTTACCTAGACAACTTAGTACAGGGAAGCAGCACGTTGTAAAGCCGAAGTTACGTTTCCAGGATATGATCGATGTGAGTTTATCGCGAACTAAGGTTGATTTCAGTTGTTAGGAGTCGGAGGCAGTGGACTGTCGCTAATGGCGCGAGCTGATCAATAGTGTGGGTGCCCAGGTGCAGGAGAAGGCACTATTGAACGCGAAGAAACGCTAGGTAAGGAAGCGACAGATGCTGATGGATTCTAGGCCGTCGATGTTGGTCGCATGGTAATGTAACACATGCGGCCGCGAGTGCCTGAGCCAAGCGGATCTTGTAAGTTGCCAGTGTGGTCCCGTGGGGCTAGCATGCAAAAGACGACGACCCAACTGATTATCTGAGCATAATCAGCACATCGATTGGTAGGTGCGGTGCGTCCGCTTCCATTCGATTTACTAACCAAGGCCAATAAGACGGCTGATGCGGTACGTGCGCCGCATCGTCGTTGCAGCTGGTCCTTACATGTGCCTGAATGTTCATTTGCTTTCATTTCACTTGTTAGCTGTTGATTGATATCCCCGGTCTGCCTACCTGTCGGAAAACCGCTACTTCGATTGCACTGGCTCCAGCAGATCGCTGGTCCATGTTTGGGATGACGGGGTGCATAGTCCTCGTGACCGCGCTAAGCTTAAAAAGTGGTTCAGTGCATCCAGTGTGCAACGGACCACGACCCATCCACCTCCTTCTGTACTTCTGGTACTCATGAGTCCCGAGATGAATAGACAGGAAAGATTCCTGCTGTGCATGTTGAAAGAGTATGGACCGGCTCTGTTGATGAAACGTGGCTCCCATCCACATACCTCCCGGTCTTATTCCTTCGGGTTTACACTTGATTTAGAGTGTGTGCATGGAGCTGTGAGTGGTGCAACGCAAGCCACTCATGGTCTCTCCGTAGGCGCAGACCTCCTGTGGCTGTCCTATGGAGGCCGCAGTGACAGGCAAATCCGGTATCGGATGCCGCCAACCGTGTATATATAATATCTTCTATCAACAGTCGAGAGTTTCGACGTACGGCCATCAGAACTCGTAGATGAAAGGGCAGTACAATTGTCGCCAAACGAATCCTTGCTATCTTTTATGTTTTTCACCCACAGGTATTGTTTGTTGTTGCTTTTTCTGGCGTTTGTAGCAATTGGCATGTGGTTCTAAACAGTGGTGCGCACAAGCCTTCTGCAAGACATAAAACTTTTGAACAGGTGATTCTCTTGGACTTACTGATCTGATCGGTTTTCCTGCGTTAACACACTTAATAATGCAGCATTCGTATGATTGCAAGAAGTGTAGCTTGTGCCCGCGCCGATACCATACTATGGCGTTGATTCCTGTGCAGTTAGTAGCTAGTTCGGATCGGCGAGGTAGCCCATTTCAAACTGATCGATTGAGATAAATACTGGTATCGGCTAATGGGAAAGTAAGTGGAAAGGAACCGGAATGACCGATTTATTACATGGACGCTTCTTGGATACCATTTTCTGCCAAAGTGGGAGATGCGGTTGGATATTTGAGTTTTCTAGTAAAAAAGCGAATCGGTTCCTACCCCACTCCCGGGCAGCTTTGCGGTTCACTCGTGCATGCGCCATGTCACGACCTTTATCCAATCCCTACCCACTCACAAGAGCTGGCCGTCACTAGGCCTGCGTCTGCTTCGCAAACGCTGATTCATTTTTCCGGATCTCAGGGGCAACTGTTCGCTACCCCCCTTGTCAGGTCTCCTCTGCAACACTGCCTGCAGGTCGACACGCAGTACGTCTCGCCTCTCTATCCTTCCGTCATCTATTCATTATTCGGTGGGACGTATTGCTCATTTGATGTTGTGGCTCAGTCCAAATCAACTGATTTTGATGTTATCTCCCGGCGAAACAGTGCACATTCAGCTTACGCAGCCGATCATGCCGTTTTTTCTCAGAGCCATAGGGTGGACGACTCATGCAGCAAAATCAGCGACGGCTCACAAAGCAGTGACGGAACGGAACTTTTCCACTCGGCGCTGAGTCACCGTAGCCTTAGTGCGCATTCTCAAGATTGGTTTCCCAGAGTAGAAGGTCTCACTCTTGACCACCCTGGCTCTGACCCGCTTTGCTTGCACTGGAAACACTGCTACCCTTACTCACAACATACTGGACGCTCTGAGCAGCTTAATGCTGCAGAAAATGCACGTGTTGGTGCTTCGAAACACTCCTTGCAATGCTACCAAACAATTTTCGAGACGCAGATACTTGACATGACAGTAGAACGTATGACTAGTCCTTCGAGTGAACACTCCCTGTATGAACTTAGCTTGAAATGTGATTGGTTGGGTGATCATTGCTTAGCTGAGAAGCCTCATCGATACTGTGGGAATGCGCATAGCGGTACCTTATTGCACGAGCGGTGCTTGCCTGAGCTACCGCCTGGACACCTGGAAGTTTCGATTTGCGACTCAGTCGATGGCTGTTCCGAATCGGACACACTCGAAATTCCTGCGCTGTTGACACGGTGGTGCTCCAATTCCCCTTACCCACCAGAGTACGTGGAATTATCAGAACTGTTTGTACAGAATTCTGCGGCCGACTGGGATTCAAATTCTGTGGCCGTCTCTTCGGAACCTACGCAATCTGCATCGACTAAGCCTTCAGCAGCAGTACATCAAACGGGCTCGAATAATGATACCGGTTCGTTTGAAAATGCACTGAACCAGGAGGGAAGGGTGGATTCGTTGGTCCCTACTCTTTCTGTGGACAAAATTCATGAAACCCTAGGGCTTGGTATTGCATCCGCGCACAGTCCCGAGTTAAACTCACAAGAACTGCAATTCCTTAACGAGGTACCGCCAGAATTCGCAGCAGCTGAACTGCGCCTTCGTCGAGCACTGAGAACCGAGCAATCAAAATTAGAACTTGAGTCCGCACGCACAAGCCCAATTTTTTCACGACAAAAAAGTTACAGTGAAACGCCCAAGCGCTCCTCCATACTCGTTAGATATGCTGAGGACACGGTCAATCGACTGAGCATCTTTAAACGAACTCCATCTGGTACAGACGGCCCCACAGTGTCATCCCCGAAATTACATAGGACCTCTTTGTCTATGGTGCGTCCACCACAGCGGCCTTTGTTTGCCAGAGACCAGGATTCTGTGGACGATGGGGTCGGTGAATCCGGAGAACTTGGCTCCAGAATCACTACGATGTCTTGGGCCACAATAGACTCTACTGATGTCAGCAGGGGGATGAAGTTGGTAGATTTTGGAATTGCTAGTAGTAGCAGCGAGGCGTTGGATAACTTTGAGAAGTCGAAGGATGTTCTCGGCCTTAACACTACAAAGGACGAGGCTGTTCAGTTCGAACTCATGCCACTATCATCATCTTCAATACCTCAATCCGTGATCCCATCGCAATCTAAGCAAGTCGCATGTAACATCACACCCTCAATACACTATTGCGATTTGGGTCAAATTGATAAAGAATTGTATGGCCTCCATTACTTTCCCCGTTTCACTACTGTCATTGCGAGATTAAGGAAATTTGCCATGTCGAGGACAAGAGCCAAGTATGAAAGGTTTCCCTTTATAACAAACAAATCAGCTTTCGGAATATTCTTGAATTTCGGCCACAAAAACGGATGAACAAGCATTTGACCAATCACACCCACTTAAATGCGGAGAGAATGAGGACGCGCGCGCATGTGTGTTAGGTAAGCCCGGCTCAAAAAAATTGTGAACGTTTTCTTTCGTCACTATTTTCATTTCAGTAAAGTCACCTCTTTTCTACTCTCGAATTTCTCGTTCCATGGGTCCTCGCTTCTCTGCGGGTATGAGTAGAAGCCATTTGCCGCAAGCACATAGTTTCAAAGGTATATTTGCTCTCTATGTGCCTACATGTCATTCTGATTACTTTTCGTACACACTCACCAGATATAAGGCAAACTCCGAAGGCGCCGGTGGTCGAACTTAACTATCCTCTTTATGTCTGTCTATCGAATGGGCCAAGTTTCACAACCGTACAGTAGGGTCGAACGTACAGCTGCACTGTACACTCTACCCTTCAAGGAGACAGTAGTGTCGCGCCGGCGCCATAGGTGGTGAAGGTTAGCAAAAGCGCCGCGAGCTTTTGCTATGCGGTTTGTGACGTCGTCTTCAATACCAACGCCGCTGACACAACTACCTAGCTAGTTGAACTTTTAAACGACTTCTAGCTGACCCTCACCAAGAATCAGCGCAGGACGCGGTCCCTTCCAATGTTGGAGGAAAGCTTTGCACTTTGGGTGTGCAAAACAAAACACGAAACGGTTGACAGCCCGTGCTAATCAGTCCAGTGCCACTTAGCACATTTGGGAGCTGTCACAGATGAGGGCAATATCGTCGGCATACTCCGAGTCAATAAGTCGTTCATCTGCGAGCAGCTCTACACTAACGTCGTGTCCTGAGAACGTAATCTCTATGACTTCGTCAATAGCGAAGTTAAAGAGGAAAGTTGACAGCGGGCATCCTTGTCTTATACCGCTGGAGATAGTGGAGGGTGGCGACAGTTTGCTGTAAGCCCTCACGTACGGCGCAGATGATTGTGAATTGGTTCACCGCTGATTTCACATACCACTTCGTTTACAGGTAGTTTCTTGCAACCGGTAGTTCGGATAAGGGAGAAGAGTCTGCGGAAACTCCCTGAGAATGCAGCCTGTTCCATCTCGATGAAATGCTGCGTCCACCAGGCTTCGCGATCTCCCCTGAGAAGCTGTGAGTTCGGCTTTGGTATCCCTGCGCAATGAGTTATACTCATAATCGACAAAGTTTGTCCGGTGGTCTTCTATCAGGTAAAGAGATCAAACGGAAATCCGTCAGTTGAAATTGTGCTTAATGAAACCGCAAATGACGTTGGCGGTGGTGTGTAAGGCACTCCGGATGTGTCGAATGCATCCCAACATCTAGAAGTGGAGGGCTCCTCAGATTGGAAGCTAGCCAGTTCTGAAAAGCACTGAGAATAGTTGGAGCGACAAGATTGGCTATATCAAGCTGTTTCCGACGACGCAACCTTAGCACACACACACACACATACACGTGCGTGATCAGGGGTGGGGTGAGTAAGTAAGTATTCAAATTGATTTGCAGTCCGTTATACAGCCTGGCCGAAGGTAACTGATTGCGTTATGGTCAATCTGCGTCCACGGCTGTCCAGACGAAAGAGGTCGCCATGTGACGCGCTGGCGCCAGGAGCGCGAAAGTTTGTGCTCCAGAGGAATAAGCCGAGATCATCGCATGGCTGTAGAAGGCCTTCTCCGTTATCCGTCCTGCGAATACGATGTCCGTGCATACCAGCTAGGTCATGTACATCAGCTTCGAACCTACTAACCTGTGCGTTGAAGTCCCGGCAAGCAACGCGGTATTCGTGCGGTGCTTCTTATGAAGAAAGTAGGAGAGTCGATGGTAGAACTGGTCCTTAGGCGGAGCTGGACTGCATTCTTTGGGAGCATACGGCGCTACCACAAACAAACAGCCAAACAGTCGTACTAGCTTTCTAGCCGAAGTGCACAGAGTCTGCTATTAAGTGGGATTCAACCAAGTATTGCTGCTTCTGCACCTGCAATTAACACAATTCCCACACCGGCCAGACCGGTGGCTTCAGCAGTTGCGTCTCCGGATAAGCGTAGTGTGGAAGGACACAGAAGATATCAGTCTTAGGATTGTACTGGAATCCTGTAGGCGGGTCTCAAGGAGGCAACAGATTTCAAAGGTGATGGTTTCCAGAATGCGAACAAGAGCCGCCTGCGATTCTATCTGTATGAGCTTTCGGAGATTGAAATCAGCAAACTTGGTATGAGAGCGCGGGCTAGAATTGTCTTTTATTTGCGATTGCGTGGCATATGGACGGTCTTGAGCTTTTCATCGACACGGTTAGAAGTGTCCTTCAAGGTGGCACGTTGTCGGAGACACGATATCAGAGGCGAATTACCATGAATGGCTGAATTCAGCAAAAGTGGAACAAAACATAGCAGGTAGTGCGGTAGAGCATGGTATAGCGCAGCCGGTCTCCAGCACTTCGGTCGAGGAAAGCGAAGACAGAGGATGTCGGTAGATAGCATGGTTACGTAGGTTCATGTTCTTATGTTGTATGGGCGGAGAATTCTTCGATTATCCAGGCCGAGGAACAGGGTTGACTTAGGGGACTTCACCCGGAACCTTGAACCATAAAAACTGACCCACAATGCAGCGGAGCAATTAACGTATATCGCGAACCGTTGGGAGTCGACAACACGACGTTCGGGTAGTAACAAACTACGCAAGGCCCCCAAACAGCCACAGTATATCGGCACAGAGTTCAGAAAAGGTTTCTGGAACGTCTAACCAACCGCGGAGTACAAGACTGTTGACTGCCAAATGGCTCATACGTTTTCTTATTGTTTGTTGGCAGTCCACACAGAAGCCCGTGACCAACAAGTTTGTTCCTCCGCCCTCGGTCAGTTACTCATTTCTGGGTACAGGAGTGAGTGCTCATTGACCCTACGACCGATCCCATTGGCTTTGACACAGCGCCGTACGGCCTCTTGTGGTATTTACTGGAGAATCAGGTGACCAGTCCAGAACTCCTCACGCTCTGCGACCCTGCCGTTGGTTATCCATAACCACTTATTCATTTCGCTTGTGCAGCAAAAAACTAAATTTATTCAATTTACCTCCACGAAGAGGGCATTCCTCGATTCACAACCTGGGAACTGTCTGGTGGTGTACGGCTCCGCCACGGGAACTGTTACTCATAGCGGCACATTGTTCGTGACTCAGCATTCGAGAGATTACTAAGAATGGGAATTCAACAAACGTGGAACAAAACATGTAATGTGGTGCGGTAGAGTATAGTTTCGTAGAGCCGGCGTCAGCGCCTCGGTCAAGGGAAGTGAAGGCAGAGAGCGTAGACAGCGAACAGGGTTTCGTAGATTCATATGCCCATAGGCGCTATGTGGACATAGAGCCTCCCGTTTGTCCAAGCTGAGGAAAAGGGTTAACTTAAAAGACTATTCGGAGTGTTGGGTTATACAGACCTGATTCTCAAGCCAGGGGGCGAATAGCATATGTAACAAACAGTCGAAAGCCTGTACCTAAATTCTGGATAACACTCATGACACCTTAACAACCCCAGTATAGTAGCACAAAAGCCAGGTTACGTTTGCTGGAGCGTCCAACTAACCAATGAATACTACAAAGGTTAACAGCGGTGCTTGATATCAGTCAGCATAGAAGCCGGTGGCCAATGAGATTGTTCATTCGCCCTCTGTTATATACTCGTGTATGCAATTCAAGAGTAGCCGTATGCAAAGTAAATAAATACGCTTTAATCAAATGTGTAACTAACGCTGGTATATGAGGGAATGAAGTGATAAAAGGTGATCCGTCGTGTACGTGTGTGTGTGTGTGTCTGTGCCTGTGAAGGTTGCACATAGCGCGGTGTGTTTGAACAGGTAAACGGAATAATCATCATTTCCCGACTAGTCATGCAAAGCGATCGGGTGGCTTCGCTTTGCGGTATGACTTGCGTATCACTTTGTTATTCGTAGTTTCGCCAGGGCAGGTGGCAGGGCATGATTCGTTCGCTTACTACTCGTAAATAACTTCTTCGCGTTGGCCGTATGGCAATCTACTAGCTGGTAAGTGCCAAGCCTACAGACGCCTGTTAATCTTATTTTGTCCAATAAGACGGGCTACTCTTTTGATACCGTGTTGCCCCTGACACGTACGAATGCTCGCGATTGGAACGGAGTAGCAAACTTCCGACAGACAACGTGATATCTTTGGTGGAGTTATAGGTCATCAGTGTTGTTAGTTACAGGAGTGGGAGATACGGCATTCAACTTTATTCATAGAGGATGTTCAAGCATAAGTTCCGTCGGCGTCTTTTCCGTGACTCGCTGATGTAAGGTTTTATAAGAAAATGACGTTTGTAGCATAGCATCTTCCCAAACTGTACCATGAAGAATAGCTTGGATACCCGGATGGTTAAAGCGCTCGACCATGCCGTTTGCCGCTGAATTATACGGAGTAGCACGTGAATGTCGGATGACGTGAACTCGTAAAAACGAGTGAAACTTATGGTTCAATTGTTCATTTGTTCTCCGAGCTTGGCGGTTTTCTCGCAAACGTTTCACCGCCATGCGAGGTGGAATCCTCAGTGCAGTGATATGTAGCGTGCAAGCTTACTAAATGAATCCTCCATCCATGATCAAACTGCAGGTGACTCACCTACCAATAGTTCATCAGCCCTTGGAAGTACAAACTTCTCGACCACTATTCGCCCATTGAGGGCCTGTAGTTCGTTGCATATTCTCACTATGCCATCTTGATTGAGGACTGTAACCACAGGGCGCACCTATTTGGAATTGTTGAGCGGTCCAATGAGATCATTTGGAATCATTTGTTGCGAGGCAGACGAAACGGCTTCTATTCTGGCCAAAGGCTTGGGACATAGCTGGGCAATAGCTACCGAGTTAGCACCTTACTTCAAAAGTGTACAGTGAAAGGAGGAGGGAGCACGCTCTCTTTACTTTTTCAAACAACTTCGGGTACTGCCGTTGTAGATAGATTGACCGACATTATATGCATATGTGATAAGGAAAATGTAACTCCCAGCGAAACCATAGCATTTTGTTCTAGTAAGGAACGGTTATTTCCACGGTTACTTCCCACCATATAACTAAATGAAAATGTATTTGCTATCATTAACTACAGTACAATTTCTTCTTCTTATGCAGAACCTGCACTTCCACTGCCTGAAATACGTATTGTGGCAGTTA